TTTAGGGTTTAGGGTTTCGGACACCAAGATTGGTAGATATGCAGGTCCACTTTCATATGTGTGCTTGGTCGTGTGTTTATGTGCATTTGTGGGTCTATCTTATATGCTTGTATGGATACATGTCCATTCATCTATGCACTTCTGTCTGTACATACATGTGTGTGTGTGTTTATACGGAGATAACTATGGGGTGTATATATACACATGCACTGAACATAAATAGATAGACACATAGGTATATATATATATATGTGTGTGTGTCTATGTATGTAGAGATATACATTCATAATGCCATATATGTGTATATATGCATCTACACATGCATACTTGCGCGTGGGGGTACATATGTGTATAATGGTGTGCATTTAAGTTCATGTAGCGACACATTTATATAGACATGCGTACATTCATCAGTATCGTATTTGTTTTCATATGTAGAATACGCACGTGTACGCAAACATGCATGTGTGAATATACACATGTGTACGGATGTGAGTATCCGTTTATATATATATATACACATGCATTTTGTATACGTGTATACGTACGTAAGTAGGTAGGCATGCATGTATGCATGTTGGTAGATGGGTGGGTAGGTAGGTAGGTAGGTAGGTATGTATGTGCACTTGTACCTCTCAAAGAGGCATCATAATGACGGCTACAGTTTTGGGTGTCTGGAGGAGAGGCCTTGATGTGTGTGTGTGTGTCTGTACCTATGATTATCTATGTATATTGTTCTATGCACACACACTCATATATACACATATGAAATTTATGTAGGGGCAACCCATTTGCTCAGAAAGGTTGGTATTAAACATCCTACATCACCCGAAGCACCTTGTAGTTATGGAAGTTTAGGATTAATGTCACGCATGATTTCACGCCGGGGTTCACGTTAGGGACTGCGGTAAAAAGGTTTCGGAGATAGGGTTTAGGGCTTAGAGTGCACCTTTTGAAATCCAGGCCGCCAATGTGAAGCTCCTCGAAGAGCTCTGCCAGCCAGGTAGGTCGCGAATGTATTCTGGGAAGTTGGGGTTAAGTTAAAAGTTAAACCCTAAACCCTAAACTCTTTAAGTTGGGGTTCAAGTTCTAGGCTTCAGGGTTTGGGGTTGGGGGGCATGGTGTTAGGCAATAGGTCCAGTAATTGTTGTTCCTAGGGCTCGAGGTATTGATTTAGGGCGACCGTTGTTAGGTCGCAGGGCTGAGGGTTGGGGTAATAGTTTAGTTTAGGGTACGTAAACATTGTACGCTGTTACGCTATCAGGGTTTAGTTTAGGATTTGGGGCGTAGGGTTACAGGGGGACTTGGTAAACACACTACATTGTCACTACATGGAGGGTCAGGGGGACCTGGCAAGTAGGTTAATAACCCCTATAACTTGTAGGGGTTATTAACCTGCTTGCTAGGCCTATAACCCACACACTGACCGTAGTTATCCCCGTGAGTAAGCTTCTTGCTACGTCCTTCTGACCCTAAGCCCTAAACAGGAAACAGGACTCACAGTCCTTAACGCTTGACAGGAGACTTTCTTGAGGGAAAGATTCGCGGCGCCTTGGTGCGGGAAACTGGGTTGCTGTTAAGGAACTTAGCTTAAGGTACCCTAATAGGGGGTATATAGGGTTTAGGGTTTAGGGTTGAAGTTACTATAATATGGGTAAATAGGCTTAGGGTTTACGTTACCGTAATCGGGGTACATAAATCTATGGTTTAGGGTGTTGTGCCATAACATGGTTATATAGTAGATAATGGGGCCTCCTTTTTCTAGTAACTTAATTTAAGTTCCTCAACAGCGGCCCAGGAAACGTTCAAAGCTACCGCCACCTGCCCGAGCTGCAGGAAGATCCAAGAGGAACGCGACTACGTGCTCAAGAGCGACCTATGGAACGTGCCTCTCTTTCATTGCCTCGCATGCACTAAGGTTTTGGGTTTCTGGCTATTTTTTAGGGTTTTGAGCTTTATGGTTTAGGGACTTACCGATGCTGAAGCCAGACCTTTGTAGAGTAATTTGTTTATTCACTCTCCAACTCCCTCAATCAGAACATGCGTGCTTCGAGCTGCGCACCGCCGATCGCCCAATCGGCTGTGTTAAGCTTAGTATGAGCCCCGGAAGTACTATCGGGGCTTTTAAGGTTCCATAGTTCTTAAACCCCGCAAGGAGTATAAAGAGGTGCGCCTTTATAGTATCGTACTTCCACAGTAAGGAAGCAGTCATCATCATGAACCCCTAGAAACGATAAAGCCTGCCTGGGTTCAACCCGCAGAGCCCCAAACACTCCAAAAAGACGGTTTAGGGTTCAGGGTTTAGGGCCCAAGCCCACCAGTAAGGCTCAACCACTGAAAACAAAACTACTCAGGTGGTTTGCTCCGGAAAATGCGAGTTTCACGAGCCGGAGGCCTGCTATGGTTTGGGAGTCGCTTATCCCTTTGGCAGGGACTGAAGGAATCGAAAAAGACATGGAAACAACTATAGGTCTAAGGTCTAGGTCTTATGGTTTAGGGTTCAGGTTTATAGTTCAGGGTTTATGGTTTAGGCTTAGGCTTGAGGGTAGGGAATTCATGGAGGCTTCTTGCGAGGCGAACCGTGCCCAAAAGGGTACGGAATGAAGGAATGGAAGAGAAAATGGAAACAACCGCATTATTTGGGGGTTCTATACTGCTTGGGACTTAGCTTGGACCTTAGACCCTTAAACCTTTGGGATTCCCTTACACTCCTATTAAAGGTACCTTAGGGTTAACCCTTAGTAGGGGTCCTAAGTGCCACGTAGTATAGTGATTAATCTAAATCCATTCCTGGATTCCTTGCTGCCCAGATATAAGCACCTGGTTTTTCAGGGGGCATGGAAGAGACCGTAGAAACCACTACAGAGTCTGGGGTTCAGAGTTTCAGCTGCCTCAAAAGGGAGAGTAGATCCTCTTGTAGTACTCAAGAATCATGCCATATGTGCACTCCGGCACTTTCCCCTCTGGACCAGTAAGGTTGTGGTACATGCGCTTTGCAACTTGCAGAACTTGATGAGTGCCTATGCTCTGCTTTAGTAGTTCTTTTGCGTTGGGAGGATGGATAGACGTTGCTAGATGCGGTGTAAAATCAGGCAAGCAAACGGGAAGTTGCCAGCTGTTATTCAAAGAAGGGTTGCAGTCAAAGAAGGAGCTCCAGTATTCTCACGCCTAACCCATCTTGTTGCTACCCAAGGCGAAGAGTGGTACAACCAAGCAGCCGAGCACATTTTCAAATGCCTCTCAGCCAGCGAGAAGATCCCAGACACTCAGGAAGATAAGCTCGCCCGCTTGGCAGAGGTCATTGCAGTGGTGGGCTTGGCAGTTGGCGTCCGTGCCTTTTACCGCTCTTTGCCCGAAGGGCCACTAGAAGAACCTCCTCTTCCCACCGCCGCGGAAGGGAAGCCCAGGTTCACCAGCGCGGCTGAGGTGTTCAATCGCTTGGGACCTCGTGAAGGGCATGGTTGGGGAGCCGGTTTGAACTTGGAAGATGTCAAGCCTGGGTTGATGGTAAAAGGTGCAAAATTCATCGGGGGTGAATTCTCCAAGAGGAAGTTCACTGGTCTTTCGCCCATGAACAAATGGGCCCCAGCCCTTTCCGCGGGCAGCCTCTTCTTGCGATGGGCCACAGTGGTCTATTCGCCGATCCAGAATGGCTATGAGAGCCACAGCTTCATGTTCAAGAAGGCGCTTTGGGGAAGCCTTATAACCCAGTGAACACTAAAAATCCTGCCTGATCCTGAGCACCTTCTACCTTTGGAATTATGGTATTAACCCAGATTAAAGTCATGCAGTACTGCAAGTATCAACACTGACCGCCCTATTCAGTACTAGCATCAAAGTGGCAGGGAGGAAGCAAGCAGCACAGCACTAATGGCTCAAGAGCGGAAGTATTATGAACCTTTTCAAAAACAGGGTCCTTCCCTAGATTATGTTATTCGAGGCTCCGAAAATCACTTGTGGAGATACCATCAAGTTCTTGATGTTCGTAGCAAGTCTGTACTGAAGGCCTAGACCCCAAATCCTAAACCGCAAGCCCTAAACCCTAAAAACGCAAACCCCCTAAACCACTCAAACCCTGAAGGCACCTGGGAGAGCTTTGAACCGCGTTGGCCTGGAAGATGTTGCTGCCGGCTACACGACTGCAGTTGGTGCAGCTTCTGACGCAATGGCCACGTGGCCATTGCCAAAGCGCTGAAGGCTTTCGGACAAGTGAGCCACTACTCTGAGGAGTCTCTGCTAGGATTCGAGATGGGGCAAAAGCCCGAATCTAAGTTATGAGCAGAAAATGATTACATTATAGTCGCGTGTAACTGCTATTGAGACACTAGTGTTTCGTAATAGGCCGACCCAGGACATGATCAATTTTTTGGTGGTGGATTTATCCACCAGGGATTCAGGCCTGACATGGCCTGAAAAACTATTCCCCATACCTAATCATGTCTTTGCATCCTCTGTGAACCCTGCTTTGACAAATGTAGGGGCCTAAATAGTTAAGGTTATATATGAGCTATAGTCAAAACTCCTTAAAGGGCGGTTGTACAAGGGATTATATAGGGGAGTATTATCGGGGTTATTAATGGGGATACTAGGAGTTTAGATTATAGCTCATATGATATGAGGTATAGTATAAACTGCTTAAAGAGGGTTATCCAGGGGATTATATACAGGGGAGCATTATTGGGGGTTATCAAGGGGGGATACTTGGAGTTCAGACTATAGCGCATATGAAGGTTCTTGTAAAAGGGTTAGGGATATGTAGTATGTGACACCCAGGGCTGCAGAAGCTAATTGACAAGAAATGAAACACCAAAAGGAAACTCGGCTTAAGTAGGGCTTGTATAGGGATAATTGTCAACAATATGGTCCTTGGTCTCCTTCATCATTATGGTATAGGGTACCTCAAACAGACCTTAGGATAACATTGATACCCTAAACTCTAAGCCCTAAACCATTGATAGTTGTGTAGATCCCAGCCCATATTGAGGGCCATGGTTCAGGCCTTAGACAGATGCCTCATTGGAGGCTTATGGGCACCTGAGAAAAGAAAATCTCAGTATATCATTAGAGATCAGGGACATAGGATTTAAGGGTTTTAGGGTTCTAGGGCTTTAGGGTTTAGGGTTTAGGGACACTATTTCTTGTTAGCCGGGGCCGGTTTTCCAGCGATTTTTAGAACTGCATTTTCACGTTTGCGACTTGTGGCCCTTTTTTCGAACTGCCCGCCTGAACCCCAACACGCGAACTAAACCCTAACCCTATGCGTAAATCCCTGAACCTCAAAACCCCTAAGCCCTGAAGCCCTCTGAACCTTCCAGGATTGCTTCGCTTTCGGTCGTGCCTTGGGCACGGAACGCTACGAAAATCCGGACTTCGCAAAGGCTGCAGCCCAGCTGCGCGCCCATGGGGACCAGGCAAGGGTACCAATACGAATAGGGATTTGGACGGTATTAGACTACATATAGCTTTAAGGTGTTTAGGGTTACGTTTCCGTGTTTTGGGTTTGGAATTCCTCGGTTTACGGTTTGCAGGGTTTTGGGGTTCGTGTGTAGGGTCTAGGAGTCACGAGACGCGAGACGCCTTTTGCAATCCCCATGCTTTCCTTGCATCTCCAGGGCCCTTGCTTTTTTGAGAGTGAAAGTCCCCCTTAAGTAGATGGAATATGGCTCTGGGTATATTAGAATAAGATCCCCATCTATCCCATATTCCATCTACTTAAGGGGGACTATAATCAGATGCTGTTTCAGTCTTGTGAGTTGGTGGCCTGTTGTTGGGGCCTGGGAGCGTTTTCTACTTTGTTCTGTCTGCGTTTACGGTGTAGGATCTAGCGACGAGGGGTGTAAGTTGCAAGGAAAAGGTGTAGGTTTGAGGGTCTAAAGTGAGCTTTAGACCCAGAGGCCCGTAACCTTTCATGATTGATTTTTTCCGAAATGATAAGAAATATTCGGGTCTCTAACATGATTCAAGGCATATTCATATTCCTCAACTAAGGGGTGTTGGCGCCCAAAACTCAAACTATTGCAGGGCTTGTCCCGAGCGTATAGGCAGGTTGAGTTCAGGGGTAGTAGGGAAGTTCGGTGTGGGGTTGTAGTATCGGGGGGGGGGCGTGGTCTGGAAACCCCACCATGGGTGGCGTTACAAGGAGAGATAGGAATTACTGGGAGGGTCAGCGGACTTAGTAAAAGTAGGTCAATGATCCCTATAATTCAATTAGTAACCCATAGTTGTCCCTTTTATCAACCTACTTTCTAAGTCCCCTGATTCCCCACGTAGGAGAGGAGATTAGTTCCGGAGTGATCTCTTCTACTTATTCAGGCCGCTGTGTGACGGAGCCTCCCCCCTTCTTTATTGCCGTAGCACTTAGGACCCCAAGTAGGTATCTTAGGGCGTAGCAGCAGGTTTAGGGTTTAGGGTTTAGGGTTTAGGGTTTAGGGTTGCGCTTCGAAGCTCTACACTTGGAAGCCCTCCAATAGAAAAAACCCACTTTCGGAAGCTGGCATCACTACTATTCGTATTAGGATTACTAGGAATTAAATATGATTATTAGTACTACTATGATCATTACTACAATAGTATCACTTTTGCCATTTTAGTGTTCTTGCTACCCTACACTCAAACCCTTATGGCAGGTGCTTTTGGATGCCGCAGGTGTTGCAGCCTTCTTCGCTGCAAACACCGTCATGGTAGATGCCACAGGGCACAAGGGAGGCGACAGTGTCTTGGCCAGGGTTTAGGGTTTGGGGCACGCAGTGAGTGTACCCGGCGATGGAAGGTGTTGTTGATCAATATGGGATTTCAGGGAGCTATCCCTAGTCATGCAAGGTGTAGTCAGGTCTTCCGCATGAAGCAGATGCCATGTCATGTGAGTAATCCTCGGTAGCCTAGTCGTACCCTTTTTCCCTTTGTATTTTGGGGGTCTCCTTATTGAAGCTGAACATGAGGAACAGGGTACCCTAATTCTCAAGATGTTACTGGGAACCTCGAATCTAAGCGCTAAATCCTAGACACAAAGCCCTTTGCACACCAGCCCTGGCGCTGACTTGCCCAATGGGTATTCCAACACATTTGATTAATCCTTTGTGGATAGGTTTAGAGATCCAAAAGAACCTAGAAAATGAAGCTGGCTTGTGTAGGGGTTTATGGGGAGTGGGGTTCCCCAAATCAGGGGTCTTGAATTTGTCCATCCCCCGTGCACTCCCCAGCCTTTAACCCGAAACTCCTAAACCCCAAGCCCGAAAACACTAAACCGTAAACCCTAGCCTAAATCCTTGCCAAGCGGGAGGGGAAAACCCTACTGGGCTTAGGCATGATCAAGATGTTGTTGAGGGTCGCCGACTACAAGGTCCGCCTCAACCGGTACTGCTGCTGTTGCTGCAGCGGGACCAAATAATTCGCAAGACGTATGTGAGCTACGGGCTGAAGTTAGGTTGGGGGACCTATAGGGGGATATACAGGGGTTTCAGGGGGACCTTTCAAAGACTATATTATAACCTTAGTCCCGGGCTCATGTGGTCAAACATGTGAGGCCTGAGGCATCGGACTCAGAAGGCGTTGCCGACTGCTTGAAACCGATTCCGGCCTCAAGGAGGATGTGGGACTTAAAAAGTCTATAGAGTACTGGAAGAGGATTACGACGGCTTTTATAGAAAAGATGCAAAAGTCCCATTTCCGAGCCCATGTCCTGCAAGTTTTGGTTCGGTCCAGCCTAGCACAAACCCTAAGCGCTAAGCCTAAATCCTAGACCCTAAATCCTAAACCCCCGAAATCCCAGGCCCACGCCCTAAAGGGGCCAGCCTAATCGGTTGCCTTTTCAATCCATGACCTGTAAATCCCGGCAAGCCTCTTCAGGAATTCCCCTCCCCTCATTTTAAAGACACCACCCCCTCAGTAAGAGTAAAAGCACTCCAATATACTAGAGTTTTGTTTGAGGGAATATGGGGGATTGTCCCTTTTTGGGTCCCTATTATAATACGGGGCCTAATAGGGGGCCTAATTTAGGGGACCCAAAAAGGGACTATAATTTTGACAATCCCCCATATCACTCATTTGGGGGGTTGCTCAGTAGGGGAAGGGATTCATCACTTCTTCGGGGGCTTGCTTAGTAGGGGAAGGGATTTCATTGATGGTTACATGGCATACTGATCAGCGGAAAGATGCGGGCTCTGCATGGCTGGTTCGGACTGTGGCTACCTTGCCTTTTGCGCCATGTACAGTGTTTTTGTCGTCCCAAGTTGAAATTCTTCCAACATGATGATGCGCGAATGATGTGTGCTCATAGGCATGTAGACATGCGTGAGAGCACAAGGACAGCTGCAGCGTCCATATTGGGAATTCTACAAGTCTTTCAATGTGACCGAGTCACCAAAGGCGTCCCAGCTGTGACAAGCTGTTGGGAGAGGGGTCCGCGCATTTCCCCCGAATGGAGGTGTGGAGGTGTGGGAGGCTTGCAATCCTGACTGCAACAGATCTGTGCGAAAAGAGTGCAGGGACACAAGCTGCGACAGTGCACATGCCAGCTCACGTGGAACTTTATCAAAATAGTGTCCAATTGACAAACGGGCATGTAAGGATTTGTCGGATCTAAATGGGTATGTTTAATGCGGCACATCATAAGTGGAGCGTGATTTGTCAAAAAATACCAACCTGCTTTGAGAATTTCTTGCATTTTGGCTGGGCATCTTGAAGGTGTAGAGTTTAGGGTTTAGGGGTCTCAATTACTCCCTTTAGTACTCTTATTATTAGTACGATTAAGCACTGTCCACCCCTATTAAAACATTCCTGCATAATGGATATGGCATGTTCGGGGGCACATTTTATGTCAGGCATGGGGGGTTTAGTATTAGTATGAAAGGACTATTTTCGGATGTAGTGCCGTTTGTGGCTAGTCTAGGGGATCTGTTTGAATCATCTGGCAGATGATCCCCAACCCTTACACAACCATAGTACAATCCTCCCCGAACGCCCTATCTATTGAATTTGGCCAGCCCTTTTGGGCATGTGCCAAAACGGTTGGCTTGTAACAGGGCCCGTGGCCCACACCCGTTACATACCCTGTTAAATACCCCGTTATATAGCGTATGTAACAGAGAGAGGTTTTCGCGACATGCCCAAAGATTTTTGTCCTGCGTAAGACATGAATGCTGCGCGACAAGGGGAATTAACAGGCTGGCGTTTCAAGGGGTATGTAACAGAGGGCTT